AGAGAGAGAGAGAGAGAGAGAGAGAGAGAGAGAAAGAAGGTAAGAGTAAAATAGTTGATAATATATGGTGTGTGTGTTTGAAGAAGAATAATAAAGGCGATGATATTTTTACACATTTTTTATATCGCGCTCAAATTATATACTTAATACTGTCGACAAGCCACTTCCGTCGATAATAGTGGAAAAGTGTAATAAATTCTGTCGCGCCTCGCTGAAATGGATATCACGCGCGGGGCTTGCGATCAATTTAAAACGACCAGTTCTATCAGCGGCGACGCCGCTGGAAAACTATTAAGGTGAAGCGTTTACAAGTACAAATTGAAGCGCAGCTTTCCGACGAATGCAGTTATTTGCATGTATTGAATTTGTCATGCACGAAGCGAAAATAGAATTCTTCCCCATTGTAATTGGCAAAGTCATCGAGTAAGTTTGAATCGATTTTTTAGAAATACAAATCACTTCTGATTTACATTAATAATTCGTGCCATGAATGATCAATCATTTTGAGATTAAAATCTCCTTATTTCGTGGATGAAGATTATTGAGAAACTATATTTAAGTCATTTATAGATTTATACCGTGCTTTTTCAATTTACAACGAGATAAATATAAAGCTCTTTTTAAGACCAGATAAATAATCTACCAACGCAATAACTTTGTATTAAAACGGAGACTTGTTTTAGTCGAGATCACTTAAAAAGATTCGCAGGATCAAAAAATTAAATTAAGAGTTGCATTCAGAAAATATTTTAGTAGAATTTTATACACAATCTGCGTATAACATATGATAAATTTATTGTTAGTTATATACAAAACGGGATAAAATAAAAATTGTTACAATAGCTTTATTTATTCATGTCGATTTATCAAATTATTGTTTTATTGTTGAAAGTAAAAAAAAGTAAACGATTATCAAATACAAATTATAATCGCTAAAGAAAGATCACTAAAGATAACAGGTAAGAAGCTTTTGCGATTTGATCTTCCGTTAAATTTACGTATCCCACATCTAAGAAATCGTTTAATATTAAAGATGCTTGCCGAGAAAGTTTTGAAAACTTGGTCAGAGAACTGTAAGTAACAACACGATCAAACTACTCTGTACCACGGATCTGCCGCAAGCATATCGCTCAGTATCAGCCGAGCTATGGTATCTTGTTTTGTATAGTTTGTATCAGTTCTCTAAACTACATATCCTTTGGATGGAATTATAATAGCGTAGACGTAGAAGTTCCGCGTAACGTAAGATCAATGTTTGTCTTATGCCACTTATTGTTGTTTTAAGCATTGATAAAATAACATAAGTATTATTTATGTAGATACTATGAGAGGAGAATTATCGGACAATTATATACAACATAATATTATTGTTATATAATATGATATTAATATTATATTTCATATAATATTAATCGTATCCATCTCTAAACAATATTACTTATAATATTAATATCGTATCTACAGTTCTATATCCCGTTAATTCTTATTGTAAAAAGGATATAGACAGAAACTTCTGGCTTCTATGCAGTTCTTTACGACTTAACACGAATGTAATGTTTGTAATTTAATATCTTAAGTGCAGCTGCAGACCTTAATAGCAGTTATAATGAAATAAGAAAACATACGATGATTACTTTGGGCAGTAGTAACCAGGCATGTATGACATAAATTGTAGAAATCGAATGTTTATAAAATATGTCTAAGAATCTTTGATCTAATAGGCTAAATACATGCATATTTTATCGAAACTTGATCATAACATTAATTTAATATTATATATTTTATATAATATTAAATTTGTTAATAGTGTAACAAATAAATTTACTACACATTAAATACTTATATTTACGTGTAATAACAATCGTATGTTGTAAATTATGCGTTTTATAAAACTATATTACAAACACAATTAACAATACAACTTTACTTCTTCTTTTTAAGATATATAAGATTCGTGCCATGTAAAAAACTTGATTATAGAATAAAAACGTTTTTTTGAAGCTATAACGCAAACGTATTGCCTGTTTTACTCCGCTCCGCGCTACACCCTATATTCCAAATGGCATGCGAAATAAGAAGATTCAGCTTCAATTGTTGTAATTAGATACGTACTCGGCAGTAGTAAATCCACGAGTGTCGATAAGGCTTGAGTAAGTACGCGACGCTTCGGAAAGCAGAGGAAAAACGCTCGTGCGTGACTTTCGAAGGCGAGAAATCTTGAGTGGCTGGTATGCTCCGCGGTGATACCCGATAGATCACTTGATCGAAACATCAAGATGGATCACGTCTTGGCAAAAACTTCACGATTTGGCTTCCCTTTTCACCCGTTGACACAAGAAGACGCCTTTGCCGTTCCTTTTTAATAACTTTGCTGTAGGAAATGCATGTATACTATCGTCACTCAATTTTACTCCTTTTTTTTCTCTCTTTGTTCGCGACAGAGAGTTTTTCATGCGGGAGTAATAAATTGCAAGCTGTGCTCCCTTCGATATAAAATATGCAATGAAAAGTAATGAAGAAGCGAACTTGCAAAAGATGCACAGTTTCTTCAATCTTCCGTGAATATTACATCCTAAGACAGCTTTCTTAAAAAAAGATGTAAATTTTTTTTCGAAACTTATTTATCTGTTTTACGCGCAAAATATTAATGAATTTCTATATAATATATTTTAATTACAAATATATATATAAAACATAATAATCTACATTTAAAAAATCTCCAGAAGAAAGAAATTAGTCAAGATGTTTAGACTTTTCTGTCTTTTACAATTAATATAACTCAGCACCTCTTTTTCTTTTATGCAGATTGAACGAAAACACTTTCGAAGTAGTAATGTGTGAAAAAAAATACTTGTTTTATTATGTTGTCTATGTTATTGTTATCGATGGTCAGGTCCGTGTCGCTGGTGTATATTGTAGAAAAATTAACGGCGGCGTCTCTCCCGGGATGGGGTATATAGTCGGCGGAGCGCGTCGTAGCGTCGCGATGCTGCGGACGCCACCGAAAGAGCCGAGGGAAACGAGAGAGAGAGAAAGGAGCGTCGCGACGACGCGGAGGCTGACGACGCACTGACTGCCCGCCTGGGTGCTCCCGACAGTAGTCGCGCTGGGTGAGAGAGAAAGAGAGTACGAGACAGGAAAGGGTGGGTAGAGAAGGGAGAGAGAACGAGAGAGAGATAGAGCCGGGGAGAGAGAGAGAGAGAGAGAGAGGGAGGGAGGGAGGGAGAGTGAATGTGGATGCAACCCTGGTCTCCTGATCTCCTAACTGCACTGACACCCTCTCGTCGTGCCAAAATCTATCCACCCACGCGCTCGCGAACACCCCCGACATATCGCCCGTTCTCGGTTGATCGAGAATCGCACGCGTCGAAGATCGCGACACACTTTCGGCAACGCGTCGCGACAGTGATGACGCGAGAGTAGCGAAGCTCAGCTTGAAATTGTGAATATTCCTGCCGGAAAACGGTCTCGTTGAAAATTTCCTTGCCTAAGGACAAAAGTCGTTACAAACGACAGTCGTATATAGAGAGAAAATATGACACGTTCTCGGTGTGCGTCTTATGACGACCTGTGTATACAGAGCCCGTTAATGAGCCCACCTAATGAAGTAGCACTTTATGGCGCGCTTTATTTATCTTGATGAACTATGTGACTTATAAAAATATGCATACGCATCTCCATGATTGAAATAATATAATTTCTCCTAGTGCTTTTTCCCAACGAACGCGTATTTAAAAGTATGACATTTTTTTTCAAATTCCAGTGCATATTTTAATGCGCGTTTTATACGGTTACAAAATTCTACGTCGAGTGATTTAACGCTAGCGCAAATGAAACTTGAATATTTAATTAGGTAATGTAAAATAATAGGATGCATACACAAGAATTGTTAAATAAGGACGTAGCGAGTAGTCTGTTTTCGCGACCGGTCAATTCTCTTTCGCTACGTTTCGCACGGACAACGAATTGCTCATTGTTTCGAATATAGTTGCGCAAAGTTCATATATTTATTTAAACACACAGAATGCTAAAGGCAAATTACGCGTCACACATACGTGTTCATCCATCTTTTGTGAAAAATAATGAGGTGCAAGCTTTAATTTGTGTGTACTCGACATTACTCAAACGTAAGTTTGAAATTGCAATTATACTCTTAATTGCAATAATAATTTAGGTGGGAGAGCTTAGTTTAGACCTTTAGACCGCCCAGCCCCTATCGGAGCTGCAGCGCGATCAATTAATTAACTCGTGCTATCGCTATTTTCTTTTGACATCCGCATTTCGCATTTCCTCGAGTATCTCGGAAAGTTGCCAGCATTTCTCATCGCACTTTCGTTAAAGATTATGTGATTATAGGCAACGACTTGTGAAAGTGTCGTTAATCATGTAACAGCTGATACTTGATATACCAATTCTACGAAAAGTTGCAGATTATTTACGTACCGCAATAACATACAGCAGTACTCATTAATAATCGCTCCGGTTATCTACTACTTCTTTTAGTAGACGCTATGATATATTTCTGACCACTTTGCATGCAATAGCGCGCTGTTTTAAATTTCTCTTAATATATCGCGCTTTGCTGTGTTTCACGTGAAAGTTGCTATATATCATAAAAAAGGATGAAAATTAACCGTTGTCACAATAAAACAACGTTTACAAAGTGCGATTCGTATACAAACATAAAACGAAAACGTGCTTAGGCAAGTATTTAAAATATTATATGTAATATTTTATTATTATATTTTATATAAATATTAAAATTCATTACATTAATATACTTCACAATATTACGTTAATATGTATAATGTTATAATTAATAAAAATTTACAGAGAGCGCGTGCAGTTAATTATATATAGAATTGAAAATCATTCCATTGAGATATTCAGAGATAAAAGCTATACGCAAGAGAGATCTCGTTATCTTTATTAACTTAGTAGGTTCACAAAATCTCCTCCGGTTATATTGAATTCAGTCACGATATAGTACACTACAGTGTAAGTATTTACTCACAGCCGTATCATGCAATTAGTGTTTTGGGGGAGAATTGCATCGAGAAGTGGGATGGGAATTACGCGGTACAGCCAATTAAGGGGCCAAAAGTATACACCTTCACGTAAGAGTGAAAGAACCCATTCACTGATGGAAAAGGTTTAGCGCCAAGTGCCCAGTCATTCACCATCGGCGAAAGTAATCTCGCACTTTGTCAGTGCGAAGATTTAGCCGCAGTTGGGCACCGCTGCTACCAAAAAGCCAACCCAATTCTAGTACCACATATACTAGAAGTAACTGTAAGTAGGTAGTTCGAATCTTTGGTTCACCGTTCGTACATACAAGACTAACCGCGTAGAAACGGGAGTTATCGGGCGAAGAAAAGGTATCAAATTGCACGGTGATTTAGATGTAGCGAAAGAAAAAAGTTTTAAATAGAAGTACGCAATGCATATAGCGTGATATTTTAAAGCGCATTAGCATCGCGTTAAACACGTTAATTTCAATCGTAAAATATTTAACAAATGTATTGTGTCTAGAACGTGTTACTGTGATATCTTATTCTTACGATATATTATATAGTTTGCAATTAGGTTGCGCACAACGCTGTGTTGAGAGGGAAAAATTGCAAATGCCCCGAAGTTCGTGAAGCTGAGAATTTCGCGAGTATATAAAACTTTACACGTTATAATATCAGAATACTGTCTGTCGAATTAACATTTCTTACTTTGTCTTGTACATACCCGTTCTGTATGCAAGTATGCGTTCAAAGTTTGATAAACTTTTATAATAAGTGGGTAAATTGTAGTCAAAATATGTCTAAAGTTTTTAGAGGGGATTCAGGCAAGTACGTTTAATATAGAAAGACTAATAAAGTTATTCTTTTATTTTTTAAACTCATTTTTAAGTAATTCTCGCAATACATATATATGTACGTATATATACAATAAAGTCTCCTATATGAATTTCACGACGCTATTTAATAAGGTACGAAGTGGACAGACGTCGGTTAAAATTCCAGCCGTTAGTACATTCTTCGACATACCCTCGGAATACTTTCTAAGTTATTCCGCGAAAATATTCCACGGATATAATATCCGTCAGTAGTTGAGTAGACAGATTCGATGAATTGCGATAAGTTGGTACTTGATAAGAAATTTCAATTCAAGTTTATTACCTCCATTTAATTCAGAATTTCATTTTCGCTCGACGATTTTGTAACAAAAAAACGGACAATAAAACACAATATATTCTCTTGATCCTCGTTCTTCAAAGGATTATCGACGACATGGTCGGGCTTAAACTGGAAGCCAGTATTTGTCTCTTCACCTTTTCACAAGTGTGTAGCGAGTGAGGACGTCGAGATCATGAATTGCGGCAAAGCTTGCGCAGAGAATTTATTTATTTTATTTTTTAACTTACATCTTTTTAATTAATAGACATAATTATAAATGTATATATAAGAATAAAAGTATAATTAAAAACTTTTTGAGAGATATACATATATAAAATATATTGTGACACCTTATTATTCTACATTTCTCAGTTGAAATAGTGACCTCATTAATTTTTCTCATTAGCTAACTTTTGTAACAAATTGCGGGAGTAAAAACTTTATCGATATATTTCACTGACTTTTCGTTCGACAGAACTGCAATTTTCCCAGGCTGTTTTCGAGCCGGACCTGTTTTTGACCAGGAATGAAGTAAATTTGTAACCGACAGTAGTGCATTAATATCCCCAAAATTATACCGCATAAAAATAAATCTACGGCCAACAGAACATTAACATCTCAATAAACTTTATACCATACAAAATAAAATAACGCAGGTTGGCATTAAGTGAGAAAATTAAGGTTATATTAGTCAATGTTATATATTGAAAACTAAGCAAAAAATAATTTTTATTTGTAAAGTACTACCTAGAGTTTATTTATTGCATGTGAAAGCGACCACGTTGATGCCTGAGTCAGCGATTATATACCTAATTTAGTGGAAACTCAAATGTTGCAAAACATTTTTCGATGAATAAATGCTCCTGCAATTTGCACGATATATTATAAACTACCGCCAACTTAACAACTCTGCTTTACTAATTTATTTATTTTGCAATTATTCCCAAGAATATTGTAAAATTTATATTATTTCAAATACGTTAAACACAGTGCGTTATCGTAAAGTTTTTATAACATGTTTTTATTCTTTTAATTTGGCATAATCCAAATTAAATATATCGTTGCGTTTCTGTACAATTTCTTAATCTTATACTGTATTGTGTGACACCGTTTTTCTTGCTCGGTCAATCCCCAACTTATTGTCTCCGTAGGGTTCGACAACATCACAATACACTTGCGAGGCTTCGCGGAAGCCTCTACAAATGCTGGAAATGACAGTCTACCTGCTACTGCGATTCGATAAAGACGTGACTGTTGTCAGTGCCGATTATCGCATGGAGGAAAACGTCGGAAAATGGCGATGCCTCAGCGGAAAATGACTGTAATCCAAGGCATGAACATTTTTACATCTTGCTTCCGTCTCTCCATCCGTCGTGCAAAATACGGGTCTAATTTTCGCAGAGATACCGCGTCACGACGCTTCTTGTTGAAACGCTTCGAAATTATCATTCTCAGAGAGGTTTGACGTGAAGGAGTGTAAATAGAAGAAGCGACATTCTATTTTGAGCCTTGTGTCGACAGAGATTGTAGTGTTTCATAAGGATTTAAAGCTCTCTCGCTTGTGCTGTGTAATTTTCAGTTGTAATGTTTAAACGTCTTCCATCTAATTTTGAACGCCACTACCATAATGAATTCGCCGAATATTAAAGGCCATTGCCACAATGAGGAAATGCAATTTGTCACAATTTAAGTGAAATTAAAATGAGAAAATCCCTTCAGCGATAATTTGCCAACAATGTTAAACAAAATTTCTTATACGTAGCCAGTTCTAACATCGCGGTTAAACTATTAAAAGACAAAAGTATTGTACTTTTTTTAAATGCACAGATTCTCTTTTTAACATTGTCGTAACGTTATCTTCATTTAAGCGGAATGTAAAGCGGCGCATGATACCGGAGAGCGTTAGTTGGAATTTCAGTTTTACCGCTACTTAAACGCAACATGAAACAATGCAATCCGACTTCAAGTATCGTGGAATAATATTAAAAATAAATAAGAAAGCGTGCAAAGTCGCTCAAGTTCGTGCTGGAAACGCTTGGAGAGATAACAGATTCGTTTGTTCTGATTCTACATGTTAAAATAATTGCCACAATTTTTAAATCGTCAATGCCGAATGGATTTTTATCGTTGTTCCAATTTGCGCGCGAGCGGCAAGGCGAAGATATTGTGTAAGATCCGCTTCTCTAAAACTTGCAGTATTTCTTTTGCTCGTCGCAATCTCGAAGGCGTACACGTTTCAAGAGTCGGTCTCAACTGATTCGACCCCGAGCAGTAACAATTGCTCGACCACCGACAGCTTCCTCATTCTTCGTTCCCGAAACGAGGCACGGGAGGGCGAGACGGACACGATGACGGCGGACGTGCTCGTAGACGGTACGAAGAACAACTCGAACGTGTCGCATCCCAGGACGTTGACCTTACCCAAGGACTGGGACGAGAAACCGAAACTCAAGTTCCCGAAATTCACCACGGAGGAGCGTTACAAGATGATGAGTTTGCATCTTGATAAGGGATGGTTCGCCTTCGATTTCCTCAGAGGCTTCTTGCCTTTCGTGCAACCTTACGACATACCGGCTGGTACGGTTTAATGGAGATCGTAAATGTTTTTTCGCGAAATCTCTTTTTAGCGAGCTCGTATAAGATTTTAAAATACGTACGTCTCGACAAATTCGTTTTCGAATCAAATGATCAGCGTTTTACGACGCGTCTAGCTATATCAATAATTCATACGCAAGCTGTTTCAACTAGAAAAAAAAAGAAGTACAACATTTTGCATGTGTAAAGCGTACGCTACGAATCATGACTCATGCATTTAACGTCTGTTCGGTCAAACGTATCTTCGTTTAAATCCTTGAACTTTTATAGTTTTTATTCCTATGACTGATTTTTCACAGATGGCTGCGAATCGCAATTAAAAGATATCTTTCACTTGTATATGGAGTGACATTTATATGAGAACAGATCGATAATAATCATTGGCACATATACGATCGTATAGAGGAAGCAAAATTCTTTTTATTTATTTCTCAAATATTACAACATGTTACCAACGTGCGAATTTATTTTTATCGTATTTTATCCAATGGTTTAATGGTTCTAGGGGTTCTAGGTTTAGCAAGTAATTTAAAAGCTTAATAGAGTTTTCAGGCTCTATCAGACTATTATCGTTTTCCTTCCAATTAGCGATGCATAGAGAAGATTATAATTCTTCTCGCTCGTTACAGATTTACTAGCGGACGCCGTGGAAAATCGCATAAGCACTACTAAATTGATCTCCGAGGTAAGGCAAAATCACGCTGAGAATTCAGAAATATTTAACCGGCGAACGACGAAGTGGATCATTAAAGAAAATGCAAGTCTTCATTAGATCCTCGCGAAGGTTCCACGGAACCTTCGATATTTCCGAGCGTTTCGTACTTCTCGAAGAGAATTTCTTATGACGTGCAACTATTTTAACCGTCGCGCGAATATTGCTGCTAGAGTTCCTCAAAAGTATTATTCTTACTTTTACAGTCTATGCACGTGGAAGCAGCTTTCTTGGGCTTAGTAGGCATGTGCTGCGTACTGGCCTGCATAATACCTGGCACGGAACTTTGGCTCGCCTGTCGTCCAATCAGAGAGGATTACAAACCTCCACGGCATCCCGGTGTTCTCGCATTTCTCCTCGCCGTTCTCGTCTTTATACTCGGGTAGGATCTATGACGATTCTCCGTTCTTAGAGACGACGCTCCGAAAACTTATTACCTTCACTTCCAACCCTACCCGTGTTCCTTGATACTTCTGTCCTTCTTGATTACACTTCGCGAGTACATAATCGTCGCGAACTTAGCGACTATAAAATTCCCACAATTACAAAAAGATTTTAAAATTAATACGGAAGATTTCTTTATTACTTTGCACTTGATATAAATTACAGTTACTTTGTTTTGTTTTTAATAATTTTTAATAGAAAGATAGAAAATTGACATTTATATAGAATACCTATCAAATATGTACACAAATATGTTAATCATTTTTTGATATACATTTGCATTTAAATAATTGTAATACTATATTAACATTAGAGCGATATGAGTCGAGAACAAATGAAGTTAGTTAGAAGAGAGAGGAGGTTTAAATAGGCAATTAGTCGTCTTACGACGTTGGAAAACCTTTTACCTAAAGCAAAGCATTCGCTACGTTATTCATAATCTTTAGTGCGTGGCTTTCAGGTCTTGCATGGTGACAATGATAATATGCAACGAGGCAGTTGCAGTCGGGATCGCGAAACTCCCTATAACAGTAGAGACGGCGTTGCAGGATTTGAAGGACTATCACGCGGATACCACATCACAGCTGCGAAAGTGCCTCACGAGAAGTTTAGACGTGGCCAGCGAAGCGATCCTCGCGGATCTGGACAGTGAGTGAAATTTTCTTTTTAACAGTATTAAGACACTCGACGCGGGAAAGTTTCTTCGGGCAAAAAGAGCGCATCAGTTTATCGCGTTCAACGAAGACAATGTGCAAAACTATACTTTTAACCATAGCCGTAACTATGAACATGCCTGAGATGCTTACCGAATGCTCTTTTCTGTTAGCGTTGTACACGAACATAACCCAGTTACTATAATTGCGTTCTGTCTTAAATGTGCTGGTTTTCCAGACTTTCTACCTTCGCTCGTTATGACCGACGTGTGAGAAGTACCTAACAGGCACAAACAAGCAAAAAATAAGAAAGAAACGTAAAAATTATATATAGAGACCATAATGCGAGATCTTTATTAAGCGCTATAATACACGAAATGCTTAAAAGACGAGCTAAATAAAAATTTATAATATCTTTGTAAAACATTTTCGCATTTTAATATAACATATTTTTCGCACTAGTTTTTTTTTTTTTGCTTTTACTTGAGAAAAAATCCTTTCGTTCTATTAAGAGAGAAAAGAATTTTTCGTTACCGCTAATGGCAATAGAAAATACTACTCGCGGCCAATTAACTAATTTCCGGAGTAGAGTCGAGTGCGGAGAACCGCTTGCGGTTCGATTGCTCGCTTACTTTGATGCAACATAGCGCTCGGTTGTAAGCGACTCTCCGCACTTGATTCTTGAACGAAAGCCGCAAACTGGCTAATTTCATCACTAAATTTGTAGGCCCGCGTTTAACGTTACAATCGTCTGCACGTTGCCGAATTTAATCGATTCTATCGCATGTTTAAACTTGGCCGCAAATGTGGTCAGACTCAAACTGTTTAACATAGCTTAACAATTTAACAGTGCGGTAAACTGCTAGAGCTTAAGCAACTTGAGCCTCCAGTATAAAAGTAACGCGCATATAAATCCAATATTTAAACATTATGAAGTTTATTATAATTTTAATAAGATTTTTAAGGCTAAATTTTTACATCACTATTAAAATTAAAAATCACTAAGTAACTAATGCACAGAAAATTAAATAATGTGTAATATTTTCAAAACACGAGTTAATATGCAGCAATATGAGAATATAATACATGAGTAATGAGGAGCAATATCAGATCATTGAATTTTTCATATTTGTGGCTCATGAGCTCCAACAAAGGAGTCAAATATAAAATTATATCAATATTTTCAAAAGCTTTTGTGTGTGTGTTCGGTTTGATTATCTTTATTCATTTTATGCATAATATCAAGGTATTCACTGACACAGGGTAATTTCTTGCCATATGCCGCAACCAGAAATATTTTTAGTTAAATGGTGTGTAACGCTTGTGAATTATATATACATTTACATTTACGGTATATCATGTACGTTTGACGCATTTGCTGGCAGGTTGGAATATTTTTAACCGCTTTCTCTCTCTCCCTCTCTCTCTCTCTCTCTCGCAGGGTATGTGACTGCTTGCAATATTTTATGTTCTGCATTTATTTCGCTTGCGCTCATGATAGATTCATTTGCATGATAAATTCATCTGTTAATGGTATAACGATTTAGTTGATTTGGCTTGCGTCCACGGCAAGAAATGCGCGAGAAAAAAGCATGTGTACGCGATAAGGAAGCATTTAATCTTGGTAATTAGAATAAATTCGAATAATTCTATCTTATTCGAAAGAGAGAACACCGTGTTAGACACAAACATCTCTTTCGTACTTTTTAGGTACTGCGCCATTTCCATTTTATTTGAAAAACAAAGTGCTTTAATTTCCACTTCTGACAGAAAGACTATAAATCTTTCACACGTTTATTTTTGTAATGCATAAATGCGATGATGGTCTACCTTTTATTTCCAAACGGTGAATCATATATCAAATAATATTCTGTTGTAGCTCGTGATATGGAACGAAAAAGAAGACACATTCCGACCATTAACTCATTAAGCGCATCGTACTGAGCTTGCTTCCAAATTGGGAACATTTTTAAATATTTATGTAAACTTCTTTCACGGCGATTCTGCGATGCGATTCGCTTCAGCAAATTCCGGTTATGTGGGCCGCTGAACGCATGAATTATCAAAGTGCCGATGTCCGGTGCCGTCGTCTAATGACGTTTCTCGCGACCGGAGAGACGCATAGGTGTCTAATGAAAGCTATCGACAGTCTATAATCGTCGCGTAATGGATCCATCGCCACTGGCACGTTAACTAGCCCCGAGCAAATTGAGCTCGTTAGTGCAATACAACCACGGGCATTATGCACGTTGGCCAGCACAAAGCATACACGCGCGTACACGCCGCCAAAACCCGTCTTGATTTCAGATCACGTACCGTGCGCCAAGTGGAACGACAACGATACGGTTTATCGACAACGTGACTACGTCGTTTCTTTCGGAGTCTATATACTGAAAACGTATATCATAAGAGCCTGCCGTATCGCACATACATCCCCATGATCGATACCGCAAATTAAACTCGAGATTCCTTAGTATTGGTCGCTATAAACCCATGCACGGCGTTTATCGGCGTTTATCGGCGAATATTGATCTTCTGTCATCTATCTTAGCCAGAAAATCCTATGCAAATTTCTCGTACAAGAAATGGGAATACATTTTAATTGTTATCAATTCATATCAGAAATTTTGTGTTACCGTCAAAGACCGGCATTATCAAACCACCTGCGCCGGTCCAAAATTCCTATCAGATCGCGATAACCGACGCGGATACAGGACGGATAAATTATTACCGCCACGCACCGACGTGACGGGATTTACAATGTCGCTCGCGTTTATATACTACATGAATTTCGCGTGTTCGTTAGCCCGAGGCGATCACAGCCCATTTTTAATGTTCATCCCATCGCCGCTCTTTATGGTCTCGTTCAATATTCTAATGATTTCGCACTTTTGTCGGACATTCGGAACTGTGATCGGCGGAAATCTTTTTGATAGAACGCCAGCCAATATATTACCGAAAGTGACCTACAGAATATTAAGTGGTCTATGCTTGTGACATCGTTTATCTTTTGTATATGCATGTGTGATATTTGTATATTAATGGAATATATCTGTTAACTAAAAACAGAGAGACTCACGCACTAATATTTCGCTCGTGTTTTACAGATGTCGAGGAATTATTGGGCAAACCTGTGCAGGCCGAGCTCTCGGCCGAGACTGGACTTGACGTGGCACTGGATGCGCTTGTTGACCTGGGAAATGGTAAAAGCTATAATAAAAACATATAATAAATTTTTTTTAATAAAAAAAATAGGAAGCAAAGTTTCATACAATGTCAAAATCGTATGTCAAGCGCAATTTTTCCGGCTATTTTTCATTTCTGGATGTAATTTCTGTAATTAATGGTAATAATTTCTAAACGCTAGGAATAATGCATTTTGCATCGTAATCTGTTCCACGAAAGTCAGTCGCAAGAAATTACGGGACTGGGATTTCGCATTTTGCAGCTGCATATATTGATAGTCTAAAGTAGATAAAGGCTCTCTAACTTATTACTACATCCTGTAACGCGAGAAATTAGTTGCCCTTTATTCCGACCGCTATATCCGATATGGATATTGCCGAATATTCTGTACCAATATTTGTCGGAATGGCAAGGTGGCTGTACGCCGAAATGTTTGCATATTCATAACTGCAATATCTACACAACGTACTCGCGTCCTACGTATAATAATTTATACGTCAAATTATACCTTTCGTGTGGAAGAGCGACCACGTCGTTCACTCATTGCCTCACGAATGGATCGCGGTCACAATAAATCTAACGACTTCGGTGGTTTCATCGAATTCTGCAGTGCATCACACGAACATTCATTCGTCGCGCCATTTACTCATCACTCAAGATTTCACGTTTCGATAGAATAAGAGTCGCGCGTATCGAGTCGCGTTTATTCAAATTTTATTAACTCTCTAAATGGATAGCTTTTGTAGAAATGGAAGACGCCGATTTTAATTACTTCGAACTTAATGCAATTTCTTACGTTAAGTTTGCTTGTACCCCACGTTCGTATATTCAATATCAACGCTATTGAATATCTAATACTGTTTAGTTAGTCAAGCGTATGTAATTAAGATGCCTGTGCAACGTACAGATGTAACATGCTACTTTTGGGACTGCCAATTTACCCGACGTCACGCTGGTTTAGGTTGTTTCTGGTAACGTTATTCGGTCTTCAAGTGTACTCACCGCCGTTAAGTGACCTTCTCGACCTGGAATGTCACTTAGTCACGGTACTAAGTTACTAACAGTGTACTAACTAAATTAGGAGGCACTACCGCAACTACGGGCCTCTCACTCTTGCCATCTCCTTTCGAGCAACTCCTCGCCTAATCACTACACGTGTATCATACTTACACGCTATACTTAGTACTCTGTATCGGGTGTTCCGAAATAAACTCGTAATACGTCATTTGCTTACAAGAAAATGTTAATAAAAGTCACGTTTATTATGTTTTATTCTGCGGAAGATTTGTTTCTATCAATAAATTTTTATGCACAGCTTGTCGAGCAATTAAAATAAAAGTTATGTGACTTTAATATAGCTGGGGATAACGGGAAATATATATGTATATGAATCTCTACAAAGTAAAAGTCGAAGTAAATAACTCATTTATGTTGGCTGCCGATATTGAGCCAACATAAATGAGAAAGGCAAAATCACACACACCATCCGAGCTAAAAAGTTTTAATTAGACAAAATTTCCACTGTGTGTGCACAGAAGAAGTTCTCAGAGACTTTGCAATTCAAACCGTCGCATGATAATTATTATGTTCACATTTCCAAATGTATTATTAGTTAGCGTCTACATACTTTTACGTGTTATAATGGATACATATATGATATATGTGTATATATGTGTAACTATAATAACTATTTTTATTATTACGATTTCTTCAACTCTTTCTTTTCTCTGCGCAGTATTGCGATGATGTATTAATTTGCAGCACACGCCGTATACTTCGTCTGGAGATGTAGCCACGGGGCAAAACTGTAGGATCGCTTTTCTTGATGGTGTGCGTTCATAGCGAATTAATTCAAGTAACGAAAACCTGTTACTGTGGCAAGTGCTCGGAGACGTGATATCGTTATCGTATATTTCTCATCAGCGCAGACAAAGTCTAATACGTAAATAGCGAATATATAGCGGCGTCTTATAAATTGCTTCGGCTTCATTATACCGTGCGTTATTACTTTCGGTTGTCGCGGCTAATAGTTTGATAGCTTACTCGAGCATCCAGTATGTTGAAAGTTCGTTCCAAGATTATTAAGTCCATCGATGTGAGTTATTATCAGACGCGGACGAAGATAAATGTAGATAGTTATTTAATTAGAACGAAGACTTTACATCAGCGGTATAGTAGGTTTGTATCTTTCACACGATGACATCCAAAGTTTATCCCTAAATAAATATTCCGCGTTCATTAAGTGTCGATGCTAGTGGCACTCAATTCTGTAATAAATTGAGCCAGATATTATCCAGATGCAGAGTTCGATTTTCTGTAAACTTAGATGATTTCTGCACTAGTTTCTGGTAAAGGTGTTAGGCAAACGAAGGTAAGAACAAGTGAATACAGGCTTTACACATCGTTAATGATATCGTATCGCACGTTTCAGCGACGCAAGAGTTATCCGTCAGAACCGAATCTTTGCTCAGGGAGGGTGAGAGAGCTCACGAACTCGGATTGGAATTGAGTAGGGAAACGGACGAGATACGGCGGGACTTGGAAGGTGCGGTGAGAGCATGCTCGGGTCCAGATCGTTCTCTTTGTGCTGTCATTGACTCTTCGGGGATTCGCCTGGATCTACGGATAGAACGGGTGAATAAACTTTACGATTGACGTTCGTTCGGGCTAACGCATTCCGGGGTTCGCTCGGTCGGGATAAACGGCCGGGATAAACGATTCGATTCGCGGCAACATTTTCATTATGGTTCTCCATTTTATTTATATGAAGCAATGAAAATATAGTAAAATAAATACTGAAGGATAAAATGCATTTATTTAATAAACAATTAAAATTACAGTGGTTAACGTTTAATTCAAGAGCTATAACGATATTTATCTTGCATTATCTCTCAAAATTTTAATTAAAACTACTCTCTTTCTCTCTCTCTCTCCTTCTCTTTCGACGTTTACGCGTGACTGAATTAAAATGTTTTACATGTGTTTCTATTCTAATAGGTTTCATTTTTCCCTTTGCTTACTTTACATTTTTCATTATTTAATTACATATATTATGCGCTGTAATTGTGTGAGTTTTATAGCAATAGTAATGTTTATATTTTAGTACAGTATTTTTAGTGTCACTTATCAATTTAATTTTGTTACACATTTGAAAAACTTGACATTTGAAAAATATTAAATTTAAAAATGATTGCTTAAATCGACAACTTGTATCAAAGTACTGCGCAGCGGAAACTTTTCAAGGGTCTCTTCATCTTTCGTTAGTCACGAAGCCTCCTTACACACCTCTTTACATACCTCTTTGCATGTACGTACATGCGAATACATATAATAAGTAATACACTTCCAGATTCAAGTGCACCCATATGTTTCTCATTGTTATTAAATGAATGCAACTACGTTACACAATAATAGCAAATGTTTTTCTCGCGCAACTTCCGCTTCTCCATCTCGATTTATCATCCATTCAATGTTCCGAAGTTTTTCCAAGTTAGAGATTTACCTCGATAAATTCCTATTAGTGAAAAATGCACAACTTTATTTGTTTCTTAAAATCACACTGCCTTCGCATTGTTTTACAAAAGTCCGTTACTTCGTGAAAAATATTAAATTCACTATTTCAGACAATTCGTTCCACCGCCGATTTAATATCGATGCATTCTTTACTCTCCGTATGAGTAACTCCATTCTTGTCTGTCTTTATATTGGTAGTTTCAGAATAAACAAGTCAAATTTTAATAGCAAAATAGAAAAATTTTAATTAAAAGAGATAAATTGTTTATAGCAAAAGATATTAACAAAATTTCTTTATCTTTATCTTAAAATGTACGAACTTCAAAGCTGCCACTAGATCTGTTACTAAAAGTCGTTTTGCTTTTGAGATACCCTCTATATTTTCTATCGCAGCTACTAAGAGACGATCGTCTTCTGCGTCTACGGAGTACCAGTCGGGAAAATTTGACGGAAGCGGGACGTCAAGTTCGCGGGGAATACCTCCACGTACCGCATCACATCGCTCGGATCACGCTGGATGCTCGCAACCGTAGGTAGAATATTCACGGTTCCATTCCCCGAATTGATATTATATCGGAAAAAAGCCACGAGACCCGCATTTTCGACAGGGAGCTTTTTTCGATACAAACCAATTGCAGCCGAGCCGAACGTGCGTTCGGAGAATTCGCGCGGAGAATGTGGACTCTACAAAATTTAGTTGAGCATGCAGCTATTTGACTAAGAAAAGGTCGAATGCGGGAAGGAGGTAGGAGACGGAAGAAAGTGATGTGCTATATAGCGACAGAAAAGTTTCTGACATTGATGCCATGTATTATGTATATGACGTTATGGCACACGCGACGCCACGCGGAGTTCGCAACGGCACTTGAGCGTAGAAACTTCGCCGAAGAGCTCGCGTTCTCGAAGAAAGCTAAATTAGTACCGTCACTGCCAGGTTTCTGTGGATGTTACGCGAGATGATGCGAATTAAGCTGGATAAATGGCTAACAACGTTCCACTGGCAAACTAACAAATGACACGAACAATTATTATTTCACGGCATAACTCGCATAATTTACAAACGCGAAGATATACTGGATACACATTCCAAGTTTCTAGTACTTTTTTGTACTTACATGTTGTTTAATTAACATTGTAAAAATTTTTCCTTGATATAAATTTGATTTATTAATATTTTATTTTAATATTTTATGTTATTTTTATAATGATTTACGTTTAATTACGTAATAATAATGTAAGAAGCCTGGATTTTGATAATTTTATATGTATATAATAACTAATACAATATAATTATATATAATATAATATAATAATTTTTTAATAATTTGAATTTTAATTTAATAATTAAAACTTGAAAACTTATAATAATTACAATACTAAAATGTCCGTTAGCTTCTGATTAATTTCTCAGTATTGTACGAACAAACGTGTCAGTTCCCATCAAATTCGAGTGGCAATCAAGAAGAAACGCAATCTACAGCTGCAAATAATAGAAGAAGAGAGCGAAAAAAAAGAAACGCGGGAATATGGAAGTAACATTCGCCGCGATTAAACCATAGCAAATGTCGATAGATCTTGGTCTGATTGGTCTCTGCGCGAAATGCGTCTTGCGTATTTCGACTGCCTTAAAGAATGAAGTCTTACGGAGTTTCGAAGAAAATAAGTCTGATAGGTTGCGGCGCGAGAATTATTTCTATCGTGCAGGTGCACAGACGTATAGAAATGCATATACTTGTTTCAACATTTTGCAGCAAACTCTCGGAGTACTTTAAACACTAATATCAGTGCGTTTCGTATAACTTGAAAACTTTTGCAGAGGGAATAACGGCGAGGAAAGCCGACTTTGATAGAACAGAATGTTAAAAATAGATTTTTCATATTATGTGTGTGTGTGTGTGTGTATGTGTGGAGGATCCGATTATAAATGTCTGAAATGCTACTTTGAAGCAGACAATATCAAACTTCCAAAATCTTTTTTTTTTTTAACCACTTTACGCGATATTTCACAAACAATATTTCGACATAAAGTCAATATCGAAGAAGCAGAGATGCAATGAAAAAGCAAAGTTCCGAAGAAAATATCTTTTTGTAGATTCATAACGTCCACGTTATCTCCGCTGAGTGTTCTTCTTCGATATTCTCCTTTATCTATGCTATGTATCCTTGTCTATACATCATGCTAGGAACCGTGATATATTTAAGGCATATTATAAGTTTGAAGGAAAGTAAACAAACCAGACTGAGCCAGATCACGTTTTATCGCGAACGAAGTTGCGAAAACACAAACTTGTTAGTTCTGGGAAAGTGCATTTTGATGTTCTGATAATTAAAATACTCTGAATCGATGCAATCGAAAAAAAAAGTTAATGCAAATGCAACATGTGTGTTTATGTTTTACTAACATTAACAAAATTTATATATTTACGTATAATTTGTTTGCGCATTACGAAGACTAGAATCCCTCGGACATTAATTCTTCATCATCTTTCAATCATCTTCAAAGCACGTAAGAACGTATATAGTACAGCTTTCGCCAAGCTTTATAAAAAATATCTTATTTCAGATTCAAAGCTTAAGTCTTCCGAAATGTTGACAGCTTCCAAGAAATATGTAACGCATGTATTAATTCTGCGGATAGAACGCGCATGAATTTCCAGCGTAAAATATCCCGAATACATATTCGTCGCAATGGATTATTTCCAAATGGAGGATTATTCCAAGAATAATTTACAATCACAAAAGCTATAATAAAAATATAAAATAAAATTTTTGGTCACTGCCTGAAGGTATTCTATTTATAATAATTTAAAAAATATTAAAATTTTTTTCTCTATATAGCAACCAATAATATGGTCAATATTTAAATGTATGGATTATTTCCTATAAATGTTATGTGTCGCGTGCATTTGGAATTATACCTACAAAATTTTTAGCCTGATAAAGAGAAGCTTATAAAATTCGCATGCATGAATCATCTTTTTAAAAGATTCCCCTTTCCTCTATATTCTTCCCTACTCTTTAAACGAAGTCGTTTAGCGCGGAACGTCACGTTTCTCAATAGCAGTTTTTACGCACTCTTCCTGCTCTTTTTCCACGCCTCACTGTATAAACGATATTTCGTCACGGGCCGAGGGGAATTTCGCGTCAGCGTTTCTGCCCCGGAGTGCGATGAGCACGAGACCGTGCGGCGGAAAAGGGAGAGTCAGGAGACTTTATCCTTAATAGACAAACGAAATGCGGTAAATGCTTCGAGCAAACATCTTCGTGAACCCCGCGATCATGCTATATATCTTTCTCGAGACACCCGTATAAACTTTCGCGATGGGATCGGTGATTGATGCTAAGAGAGTCACGCGTTGACGGCTTGTCGCGTCGGACAATATCACGGATCTATTCTACTTGCTGTTTTATTAGAAGCCGACATGTGTGCTTTGCAAATGTATAATAAGATAAATTTGAAAAAGAATTTATAATATATAAAAATGTAATACGTATTATAAATGTGTATATATACATATATATGTATATGTGTGTGTGTGTGTGTGTGTGTGAGTGTTTGTGCACGTATAATCTTATATATATATCTATAAATATCAAACCTTTTTTTACTAGATATTTGAAAATCGAAATACTCTATATCATTTTTAGATGAAATTCTAAAGGCGCAAAATGAAATTGAAAAGTTAAATTAAATCAGTTTAAAGGCATTTCCATGCAATCAAAATTATATATGTATTTATCTTTTTTTCTCGAACTCTAAATTCTTTTTTGTTTTTTATTTTTCTTTATTTATAATTAGTTTTTACTGGCACGCAGCAGTCTGGTTTGAATGACAGTATTACAAATTGTCTGTCACAATTTATTATTTCTTTATTAAATACCTGCGATGAATAAAATACGTTAATTGCATATATTGGATAAACACGTATATTTGCCAGCTTTATATTTTGAAATATTCGCAAATAATAGAGGTGACATTAAGCATGCTGTAAGAAGTCCGTGTTGTTGAAGGATGGACATTGCTTTTTCGATTAATAAAGCATAAGAATGCTTTAAAGGAAATTATTAATAAAGAAAATTGAGAAGATTCCCGAAGGAACCTGGGATGATGGATGCTACAACGCTGGAATGCTGATGAACCGAATCGACGTGGACTTGTACTCCTGTCGACTTCCCTCAACTCGCCATCGACCAATAATGCTTGTCGCCCGTCGCCATCCATCGGCAGACAGATCCGATAGAGAGGTGACGGTCGGCATCTAATGCAAAATCCATATCGCATTAATATTACTACGTGAAAAGAAAAGTCGCAAAAAAAATTTGTAAAGGTTCGTCCCATTGCTGTGACGATAAAGTCGAACAAGCTCAACGTCTGTCGATCGCAGGTTGTTACCAAGCAGTTTCTGTACATTCGCTCGATGAAGACTCCGGATTATTACGAAGAAAGTTTGCCGTTAGAATAATGTATTCTATATATGTGTTAGTATATAAGATAAACGATCAAATGATTTTGATGTAAAATTCTGTCGTGTAGAATTGACTGTAAGTAGTATAACTTGTACTTCTTTTTAAGAAGAGTAAGATATTGCAATTGAGTTATTCACTATCTGTCTTCTATTGTCTTAATAATATTATCAGATGATGTGAAAATTACTACTTGAGAAACTTAATTATCCTCGCGGAACAGTAAAATATAATATTATGAGAAGTATTACCGAATTATCTGGAGACTCTCGTTATTATATTTGACGCAGTAATTATGTTAATTGTAACTTTCACAGATATCAAAAAGTTTATATAACTTTACATTAGAGATAAAATTAATGGAATTAATGGCTTTAATATTAAAGATTAGGTATATCATCAAAATTCAACGTATTGGGATATATATCTTTTCTTTGCGAAGACATTCATGATATAATATAAAGAATAGCAAAAATTATGAAGTAATAAGTAAAAAGATTCTCTATATTTCCATAGAGATTCGACGCGAGATCGATGCAGCACGTGCCAGGATTGTCGATCAAACGCGCACTGCGGAAACGAACAATTTCGAACTTTCAAAGCAGCTGGATTCTGCGAGAAACATCACGGATTACGTTGTACCTCATGTTATTGCTTTTGAGCATATCAGATGGATCGTCGGAATAGGCACGTAAAATTTTTCAAGATTACATTGCACATTTTCCCGTTATTTACCGCGTTGGTATTTTGAAAATGATCACGGAAATCGTATGAAGCATTTCCAAGCTAGTAACGGATTTAAGAAGATAACTCAATAACATTAAAGTTATATACACTTTTCTACGTGAAAATTTTGACGAAATAAAATACGTTTGTATTTTATCGTTTCACGTTTTAAATAGAAGTTATATAGGACTATTTATTCGAATCCCCCCTTCCCCGCCATTTATATAATAAAATGTGCATAAAAAATAAAAGTAATGATTTACATACGACAAATTAAGTACAAAAAGAAACAGTGAAATAACATCAATATAACAGAATATATTTTTTAAGACTCAGGGCACGTAGCTGATGGAATATAATATAATGTTTTATTTATTTGTGACATGTGCAGCTAGTGCTCTATGCATTTTACCGGTTTTTTCATTACTGATTGGAGCTTTATGTTGTCGCTGCGGATCATCCGAAAATAAAGTGCGTCCAACTCTTTTGTGGCAAGTATTATGAAATTCGTATAAATCATAGTAGAAGCAGAAAATTCTGTTATACTTTCAGTAGCATCCTTGTTATTATTGCAGAGTGTCATATTAGAGGTTTGCTATTTTTTATACCTTATGCTATAATCGTCGTAATTGCATAACACGAAGATTTGTATAATAATTATTTTATTTATTGTAATTGTGAAAGAAATATTAGTAGCTGTAAAATTATTGAGTAACATCAACATAGCGTATAGAGAGGTATATTGTAATATACACATACTACTTCACTTATGCACTTTACTCCTGTATATTATACTAACAATAACATTTTCAATAATATTATAGTATGCAAAATGATATGATAAAATAAGTTCGCAAGTTGCGTATTATATATATATATATCTTAAATAATCATTTCTATAAGATACATATTTTTTCGACCAACCTTTGTCGAGATTTATGAAAATATTGTGTTATTGATACTTAATAATACTGTGCTATTATTTATTACTTTTCTAATCTTGTTAAAAAAGACGAACTACTATATATAGATATAAGATAACATAATTTATTACTAGATGTCTTATCACATGGCAGCAGGTATTTATCATACAGAAGACAATATTGCAACGTAAATATAAATATTTATATTATAATAAATTATCATTTAGTGAGCTCTGACAACAGAGAACTTGATCGGAGGTAATAGATCTTATAGATCTAATAAAACGGATCGCCAGATTGAGTGTGTCGATCGGATTTCAGTGGTGTGGCCACGAGCTGTTTTGTCTCGATTACACTATGGGCAGTGTTCATGGTCGCTTTGGGCATCGCCAGCCATACAGAAATGTTGATATGTCGACCGCTGTACGATCCTGACTATCGTACTATAGAAGTTGTGCTGGAAACTCGAATGTTTTTAGGAAGAAGACTCACAATTCCTCTCAAGGAGCTCTTTGAGTAAATTCCATTATCTTAATCAAGCTAAATAAATAGAGCTTTATAATATTCAACCTCAAACCATAGGTTGTATTGAAAACTACGAACTGGATACTATTAAAAGAGTTATTGATTAAAAAATACATATATTTTTTTAATTTCTATCGCAATTATATTTTCAATAAAATGAACTTTTTTATTGTTTGAAATATAATATTCCACAAATTTTAATGAAAACATGGCACCGTTGAGTATAGATTGCAGTTTGAATATAAATTATATATTTTTATTTATATATTTTTTATCATATATATCCCTCAGGCTGTAACATACAGACATAGCGAATGGTTGCAATGTGTGTTACGGCTTTCAACTGCAATATTTATTTGCAGAAAATGTCGAAACAACGAGGCAGCTTATCCCGCCTTTGGTCTGGAAAACGTGATGAAACTGGAACATTTGACTGCGCATTGGGCATGGCCAGGCCTGTCTAGAGCAATCTCAAATGTTAAAGTCGATTTGAAGGGCCTACAAATATTAACGCCGAATTTACGACAACGTCTTCAGGATCTCTTATATGCTTGTGGTTTGAACCTCACCGCGCATAGAATTATGGTACCTATTCATTTATAAACGTTTATTTGTTACGTTAGATATACTTCAACTTTTTATTCTTATGTTCTTCCAAGTGAACAACAAAGCCTTTGTATTTTAAGATAAAAGCAAAAGTTTTTACTAGATTTTAATAACTTGATTAAAGCTCCAAATTACTCAAGCTTTGAAGAATTTTTTTGACGGAAAAATCCACTAGCATTGAAGGAAAGTAACAAATTGCGCAGCTGCATCACTACGTGATGCTAGACGGCTACTATGATAAACGACACGGATTTCACAGCGAGTTATTTCCGTGATTATAGTGGTTTAAAGGCACTACTAATTAAAGTCTATTTAGCTACGCATAACTACGCTAATTCATCAAGTGCATAACGCACACATGTACATTTATTTTAATATCTTATAATCTTTTGTATGTGCAAATTATTCACATAATTAACATAGCTTTCCTATTGTTTTATTTTGATGATACTTTTAGTTGCAAAATTTGGCAGAGAAGAATATATTTTGCGGGAAATCGACTCTTTTATTTCCCGATAATTTCAACTGCTATTTTATATCCTCTCGTAGATTCAAGGACCGATTCTGAGTAAAGATATAAGTACATTGTCTGACCAACTGGACAATGTATCCCGTCAGCTCCAGGATCGAAGTACTGCCAAGGAACTGCAAAGCATCGGGACAACAATGCGGGATCTAACATTGCGCCGAGTGAAACCGCTAATGAAATTACAAGACGATCTGGTCTATCGCCTTGCTGTTCTTGAGTTGCAAGTGCAACCTCTTTGGCGTCAAGTCAATCAATCGATTTCACATCTGAGGACAATACAATATTATATAGATAATCAGGGAGAGAAGATTGCTCAATTGGTGAATAATGGTGTTGAAAATTTCTTCTTTGCAGATTAAAAGAAATTCAGAAACAAAAAACATCACAGACTATTGAAATTCATCGTTTAATAATTGTTTGCAGAAAACAAAATTATACATGGACCGACTATCGAATTACCTAGATCAATGGCGGACTCACGTATTCTCTGAGATAACCACGGAAGTATCAAAGTGTCGACCCTTGTGGGACATTTTAGAAGGACTGAGATATTTACTATGTGCTCACATTTTAAGCCCTTTTGTATGTGTAATTAAATATGTATAAATTAAGCAATGGAAAAAAAGGCCAATAACCGAGCAAATAGTAGATGTCAAATTTAAAAGTTTATTTTAATCAATCAAATTGAATTGATTGAAATAAACTTTCACATTTTTGACATCTACTATTTCCTTGTTTTTTTATTGTTTGAGACACACGAGCGAGATCCTTTTAATTATTATGTATAAATTAAATATTAAATAATTTAAGTATATATATAAATAAAAGAACGAAAGAAAAAACAAATATTCAATGGCATGAATAATTAATGCAGTAAATAATCTCGCATTTGTCATAAAATTTCTTACACGTCTGTGTTTTTAGAACGGTTTCTGGTTTGCTACGTTCATATGCGTAATCGTCATGATAGTCGGCACACCAACGGCTCATATTTTGTCACTAGTATACAGGAAACCGTCTCGATTCGTAGAAGATGCTACCCTACTGTCAACAAGAGCGTTAGTATTTTTTTTTAATTAATTACTAAATTACAGGATTTAAAACAAACTATAAAAATAAAAATATATCTTTCTTTAGTGCAAGTCTCAACTCGGATGACGATAGAACGTGGCAGATGCCAGAGTAAATTGATATTAATATCTTTTTTTTATCTTGTATTTAGATAATTACAATATATTAAAAGTGTGTTATAAAATTATGTTTTATTAATAAAATTATATTTATAACTGTAATTATATATTTTAGCCCTCCGCCACCGCCACAAAACGATTGGTAACAAATGAGGACGAAGGACGAGGACTTCGCGTTGCAGGCAGACTCAGAAAGAAGTTAATATAGCATCGAAATTTAATATAGCAAAAACATCGAAGAAGCTTCAAGTATAGATAAGTATACAAAATAAGTTTTACTTGTATCTAACTTATCGCAAGCAGATTTCTAAAAGTTAACTGCCGTTTATACATTTTTATGAAGTCTACTTGATCTCTCAGAATAGTGGCATTAGTGCGAAGAATTCTTCATGCGTCTGTTTGTTAAAAAAAATAATAATAATAAACCTTTCAAATGTATTAGTTTGGTCGTTTTCTTTTTCGTTGTATTCGTACACACAGAAAGATAGTCTTACAAAATAAAAGTACAATCTCACTGCATGGACACGAACGAAGACACGCTTGCTTCTCCTACGGAATTGTTAGCAATACAATGATACATCCCAATGTGTTTTTCATCCAGCCGAGCCAATTGCATCCAAGATGTTCGCATAAGGGGCTCTGGGCCCTCGCTCGTATGTACTGTCGCCTCATGCTCCTCTCCTATGAATAAAACAAATTACTAAATTCTGTAACATGTCATATTTGTATAATTATTCAGCAATACATAACGCGTAAGTTTTAAGACAAACTTAAATACTATTAAATGCTATTGCCAGATGTATTTTAATCTTGTTCTTCCGACATTCTATCAATTATATGTAGAACAATTTGATTAATTTGTATATTTTAATCCACGCAGCGCAAAAAATATTTTGCAAAATATTTTACTTCAATACTATTAATATTGTATCATTTTACCTGGCAATTTTATCACTCTTCTCCCATCAGCCGAATGAAATTCCCAAAAGATATCCGGCACAGGGAAGCCCTTTGCCTCGCAATTGAGTGCGACACGTTGACCAAAGGATGAGACAACATCTTCCAAAGTTGACAGAATCCACGGTCTACTTTCACAAGGACCGAGGTGTTGCAACCTCAAGGAAGATGAGTTCCTGAGTTTCATCGCTTCTTCGTGCAATGCGCACGGCGTCGGGTAAGTTTCGTTATTGCTACCGCACGCCGGGCT